GTAAAATACAACAATTTCTGCTTTGATACACCGCACTTCAGATCCTTTTACGGCCCAGTGTTGCTGTGCTTTTGCAGCATGTTGTTGAACGTGTGTGTTCTGGCTCTTATTGATTCCCCGCCTGAGTCTTTGTTTGTGTTCCCATGCCTTGTTTTTCCACCACTGACTGAACAAGGACTAATTTTGTGTGTTTTTTAAAGATGTAGTCAATAGTTGCATAACACCAAGATAAAAGTGACACATTACCTCGGGATGGAGCGGGAGCCAACAATAATTTGTCCTGCTCCCAGCCCACCTGTTTGTTTACTTCATAGCCCACGCATTAGGGATTAGTCATGCCTGTTGCTTTGAAAGCTATTTACTGTTCCTGCTAAAGCATGCAATCTGTCTTTAAAGTTCAGTGAAGGGTTTCAAACTGGAACGATGTACAACAGGTGAGAATAAACGCCCCCCTTTTTTAATATTGGAATGCCAGCTTGCCTAACATCTTAAAGAGGCCCCATTATGTCCATTTATTGTAGTGTGTTCTATAGGTTTGTGTGCATGTAAATAGTCTGCAAATGCACTATGTAACACTCCTATTGGCTAGTGCTCCAACACATTGTACATGACCGGCTAAGGGGCGGGACATCTCTAAGCAGTTGACCAATCACAACCGAGCCGGCCAGCTAACCAATCAGAGCAGACTGGGCTCTGGTTTCCTCTCCTGCTGATGTTCAGGTGTATATCAGTATGTAGTCACTACATACTGATATACACCTGAACATCAGCGGGAGAGGACTCTTTAAAGTAGAGACACCACATACTGATATACACCTGAACATCAGCAGGAGAGGACTCTTTAAAGTAGAGACACCACATACTGATATACACCTGAACATCAGCAGGAGAGGACTCTTTAAAGTAGAGACACCACATACTGATATACACCTGAACATCAGCAGGAGAGGACTCTTTAAAGTAGAGACACTACATACTGATACACACCTGAACATCAGCAGGAGAGGACTCTTTAAAGTAGAGACGCTACATACTGATATACACCTGAACATCAGCAGGAGAGGACTCTTTAAAGTAGAGACACTACATACTACTGATATACACCTGAACATCAGCAGGAGAGGACTCTTTAAAGTAGAGACGCTACATACTGATATACACCTGAACATCAGCGGGAGAGGACTCTTTAAAGTAGGGACACTACATACTGATATACACCTGAACATCAGCAGGAGAGGACTCTTTAAAGTAGAGACACCACATACTGATATACACCTGAACATCAGCGGGAGAGGACTCTTTAAAGTAGGGACACTACATACTGATATACACCTGAACATCAGCAGGAGAGGACTCTTTAAAGTAGAGACACTACATACTGATATACACCTGAACATCAGCAGGAGAGGACTCTTTAAAGTAGAGACGCTACATACTGATATACACCTGAACATCAGCGGGAGAGGACTCTTTAAAGTAGGGACACTACATACTGATATACACCTGAACATCAGCGGGAGAGGACTCTTTAAAGTAGGGACACTACATACTGATATACACCTGAACATCAGCAGGAGAGGACTCTTTAAAGTAGAGACACTACATACTGATATTCACCTGAACATCAGCAGGAGAGGACTCTTTAAAGTAGAGTAATAATAATAATACTCACCAAGCCCTGTAACCAGTATTACTAAAGTTTAACGAGCTGTGCATATTCATCTATTTATATACTGAGCGTCTGCTTTCTGACCCTGAGGCTAACGCTAACAATTTCACTATTGAGAAAGTCCTGTTCCGACACCAGCTGACTAACTTGACTCTGATAACTGAGCATGTGAAATGAGAACAAAGCATGTGTTCGAGCTCCTCTAAGCATGACGAGTGGTGAGTTGTGTATCAGTGGATGTTGTTTTCTTAATACGCTGGATCTGTCATGTTTTTATTTCAAGGAAACTCTTTTTCTTAAACTCTGTATTTTTCTGACACTATCCTCTCTTTCTTTTATACTTTTTTATACTAAAGTTGTCGGTGGCTCTGGAGGAGAAGTCGTCCCTGCAGGCGGAGTCTCGCTCCCTGAAGGAGAAGCTGCTTCTCTGCGACTCTGTGGACGTATCGACCACCGCCATCACCGGAAAGAAGCTTCTGCTGCTTCAGAGTCAGATGGAGCAGCTGCAGGAGGAAAACTACAGGTACTGTTAGAAAAATATCGCTCGTCCCCGGCTTGAGCTTCAATCTCAGGATCCATGTATTTCTGATCCTCTCAAGAATGGAAGTAGTCAAAACAAAAAAAGAGAATTTGTTGGTATTTTTCCTCACAATTCTGACTTTTTCACAAAAATCTCAAAATTATGAATTTTTCTCAAATCGGAACAATTCTGACTTTCTCAAAAATCTGACTTTTGCTATAAAAAAAAATAAATGAAATTTCTCAAACTTTTCAAAATAATGATTTCTCAAAAATCTGATTTAAAAAAAAAAAATCTCAAAATGACTTTCTCAAAAATCTAAAGATTCTGACCTTTTCTCAAAAGATTCTCAAAAATCTGACTTTTTCTGAATACTTAAACATTTTAATAATCACTCGTCACCGGCTTGAGCTTCAACCTCAGGATCCATGTATTTGTGACAGAGCATCAACTAGTTCCTTAACAGTGTCCTTCACATGCTGATATCCAAGAGAGGGAGTCACACAGTCACAAGATGGAGGAATAGAAAGCAGTATTCAATGTTTACTTCAGATTAGCTCCACGTCAGAAATGAGCATGCTTGTCATACGTCTCTCTCCATAGAGGCTGAATCATCATGTTAATCACATAGCTATCATATGCCTCAAACAGTCCTGATGCTCTTCTAGGTAATCATACATCCTGTCATGTTCACAGCTACAGTTGGGATACCTTTGTTATCATGTTACTCTCATATTGGAAGAGGACATTCACTATTTTCCCAACAGGTAGAAACACAAACTTTACTGTAGTAGTAGTAGTAGTAACAACTAAGTACTACAAACTGCTCTGGTATCTTTTTGTTTGTCAGACTGGAGAACAGCAGAGATGATGTTCGGGTGCGATCAGAGATCCTGGAGCGAGAGGTGGTCGATCTGCAGCAGAGAAACGAGGATCTGACCAGCCTGGCTCAGGAAGCCCAGTCGCTCAAAGACGAGATGGACATCCTCAGGTGAGAGCAGACTTCCATCCTCTGATGACGTGTGCTTGTAGGCCGATCCAGAAGTTAACATTACAAAGGTTCCCCAACAAAAAGCCAATAGGAATTATCGTGGTTTTCTGAATATTATGGAAAGTAATCTCTGTGGCTAACGCACGACTATTGCATGTTTTGATTAGCAGGATAACCTCCACATATAAAAACCACTTTATGGTTTTTAAAGTAAAAAGTAGGGATGCTCCGATCGGCCGCCGATCAATATCGGCCGATACTCACTCTCTGCCGATCGATCGGTGCTCTCTAAAAATGCCGATCGCGAGAGCCGATCGCATGACGTAAAAATACATGAAACTTTTCTCTGTGCACGGCAAAAAAAGCTCGCCAAAATGGCTTCACCAGTCTGGCAGTATTTTAAGGTGTCCGAAAATGACAATAAAATAGCGGTATGCAACGTTTGTGAAGCAGAAATCCTGCAGCTCCGCCCACTGTGACGGACCGGTGAGCGGAGCAACACACACACTAAGAGTTAGACTTAACACACTTAGCTATTTTATCTACTTCTGGAACTAGCTAAACTAGTTATTAGGGCTGTCAAGTTAACGCGCTAATAAGGCGCTAATAACGCGCTAATAAAGCGTTAACGCAAAAAAAGATTAACGCCACTAATTATTTTAACGCGATTAACGCAAGTGTATTTGTTGTCCTCGGCCGCCCCGTAGTTTCAGAGCGCATCGAGTTTAAAATACCATCTACAAGCTGATGCTGACAGCCCCGCTCCTGCCGCCCGCTTGTGGCAGACCACACTTCCACGCTCACCCGCAGGCACCGACTGGCTGTTGGGAGGACCGGGAGGGTGTGCTGTTGTTGTTGTTAGCATCTAGTGCTAGCTAGCTGCGCTAACGGATATAAGGAGCTGTTTCAATGAAAACAGAGGAGCGACATTTCGCCGACAACTGCGCCGAGCACTTGACTTTATGCAGGAAGCCAGACAGTGGGACATTGTACGAAAAGTCAGCACACTCAGCACGGATAGTGCGCAACATGATTGCAGCGTCCAGGCAGCTCCCGTTCGAGCATATGCCTTGAGTTGCACATAGCTCCAATGATCCATCACAGTGTCTCCACACACACACACACACTTTGTATTGTATGAGAGAGGTTCCATGTTGAATTGAGGCGAATATTTGTAATGTTCAGAGTGTGTGTGTTTAATATTCATGAGAATTTGTCATTGTTCAAATGATAATAAACAAACATATAAAGCATATTTGTCCACTCATATGTTAAGAGTATTAAAAACTTGAAAAATATCCATCTAGAACAGATAAAAAATGTGCGATTAATTTGCGATTAACTATGGACAATCATGCGATTAAATATTTTAATCGACTGACAGCCCTACTAGTTATACATATATTTATTCTTCACTGTCGGGTCACTCGTTACTGGATCAGCGAGCTGCATGAGATGCTGTCAGGAGAGAGGGGGAGAGAGCGCTTCCACTCATTTCTCCCGTGTTATTCTCCAAAGTTAATGTAAACTTGAATAATGTACTTCATTTGAATGTAATAATTATGTTGGTTGTTGTTTGTGGAAGCGCCAGTGAATGAGCCCCACTAACTGAGTTTTAAACATCACTTTAAATGGAAGATCCCCATAGGCCCCACCCACTCGATCGGATCGGTATCGGCCGATACTGATTCCGGCGATCGGAGCATCCCTAGCAAAAAGCTAGGACTGAAACCAACAATGATTGATCTCTTTACCAACTTTTACCTGTAGCTAGCTCATCTGTGCAAAAGAGTGCATTTGTTGTCCAAAAACTATTCAAAAACACACCAGTAAGCGTCACTGTTTCAAGTTATTACCATTTAACTAGGAACAGTTAGTAATTCTCATTCGATCCCACAGGGTAGGTGTCTTAAATCCTCCCTAGCTGAAGGAAAGAAAGTACAAAAGTATTGGAAAACAAAGTAAAACTTTGTTAGTTTATTTGTTCAGAGGGTTTGAACAATGCTCTCCCTCTGAAGCAGTAGTTCATCTATTATCAGTTTACACTCTCAGAAACAACTCCCACTCTGCCCACACACAGACCGCTCGCTCCTCTGACAGCTGTCTTGAGAATATGAATTTCATGCATTGACTCCGTCCTGCGTCAGAGTTGGTGATTTATCATTTTATTTATTTTTTCACCAGTTAAAAACAAATCCAGACGAGGCCATTGTGTTCGAGCACAAGTTGTTTTTCAGAGCAATGTGTTTGTTTACTTGGTTGTATCAAATGTGTAATAAACACTTAGAGTTATTACTGGCTGCTAATTCAACTTTACTTTCATAAGGCTGTTGTTTTTATCATGTGTAGTTATTTTTATTCTATTAACGTGAGTTTGTTTTGTTTATTATCTTAGTTTACTAATAGTATTTGTACCTATTATCTGCCGTGTCCCTTTGCTGTAACAAAGTACATGTTCCCGTTTTTTTCCTTTTCTATGTAAAAGTCATGTCGAGAAATATCAGTCAGAATTCATGGTATACTGAATCTGTATAAAAACATATGTGTCAAAAAAGTCAGTGTTTAAAGGTCACCTATCATGCTATTTTTAGGCAATAGCATAGGTCTCAGATATATACAAATATATAAAAAACATGTCTATGAAGTGTTTTGCTCAAAATACCAAACAGATCACCCATTCTAGCCATGCCTCATATCCCTCTGTTTCACTTCCTGTTTCAAAAGTGCTGATTTGGGGTAAAAAATTGATTAAAAAAAAAAAAGGAGGGGTCTGAGCTCATGCGGGACCCGGCAGCTACTGTCTAAACTAAATGCTGCCGTGATGAAACGCCATATCATGGATTATCAAGGATTCTCTCTGAAACAGTTTGGAGCTCAAAGGCTTTCTCTCTTGCCGGTTATACCACAAGGTGAGTTCCTTTTTATTTCCCGCTTCTTCACACACATGCTCTCCAGTACAGGTTAGCTCTGAGTGTTAGCGATGCTAATGTAAACACCGACCATATCACGTCCAAAACAGTCGGGCATTGTTTCTGATAGAAACTTTCTGATAGGGCCGTGGGTCCACATTTCAGATATTACGTCATATCGGACGCAAATCTGGATCAGCTCCGTTGTAGCCCAGTTTTTAGAGATTTGGGTACGGAGGAAAAGAGAGGCTTTTATTTCCTGACGCTGCGTGAGTTCCCTGATACATGTTTATGTATAAAAGACATAAAAAAGTGCATTTTGCATGATAGGTCCCCTTTAAACTAGGTATAGTATCTGAAGTCGAAATCATAGCAAAGTGCCGAATACATCAGAAAAAGTATATTTAGATTATGTTGAAAATATCCTCCAAAAGTTGTATCGTGCGTCAAAAAGTATGTTGAAAATACATTTTAAAAAGTCAGAAATGTCAACAACAGAAAAATGAATAGTGTAGTATTTTTTTCAAAAAAGTATGCCATGTAAAAAAACAACTGAAAAAACCGCACTGTTCGTAATCTGGCTCTTCTTCAGTAGGAGCTCTTGGTTCCATTCCAGTGCTAAAGTGACCCCATTGAGGCAGGGCAGCAGTGGCTGTCTGCTCCCTGGTCCCTCTCTGGATACCTCTGGCTGCTCTGAGCCGACACGCTGTATTTATTAAGTTTAAGAACATTGGTTTTCTTTTATGGAAAATGTATACCAGGGGTGTCCAAACTACGGCCCGCGGACCATTTTGAATCCGCCCTCAGCGAATTAAAAAAGTGTAATACGGCCCACCAATGAAACTTGTGCTTGTCTTATGTTGTACTTCTTAACTATAGATTAAAAAATATATTACACAATAGTATTCACGTGTTAATAAATAAGACCACTTTTCAAATAAATTCAGTCAATTAAAGTTGTTAACATTTTCTAACAAATCTAAGTTGACAATGACTTATTTACATAACAAGCTTGAGCTGCCAACACTCACAAGCATAATTTACCTGCATTTGATTGATTTTGCTAACTTATAACTGAACTTATGAGGCGATATACCTCTAGTGAGTGGCCCAGTCCTTCGTATATTTATCTGTATGTGGCCCTCGGTGGAAGAAGTGTGGACACCCCTGATGTATACCAATATATGGATATATTCGTTTTCATTGTATTCAGGATTTATACTTGACTACACCGGCTGCTTAGGATCCAAATGGCAGTCAACATAGGCCGCTACTTTATTTATACTATAAGAAATTGTCTTTTCGCAATCTACAATAAACCTGACTGATATTATGTCTGGCTTCTAAGGTTAATACAAAAGAAACAGAAAAAAGGCATTAAGTCTTCAGTGTTTCCCCTAGGATGGAGTCATAGCAGCGGTGCTAAGGCACGTGGGCCCATCATAATGTGAGCGTGGTGAGCGTGGAGCGCGTGGAATTTTTTTAGTGTGTGCGAAGTGCGCCCCGCCAATTTGTTTCTATGTGTCTGCCAGCACAAGAAAGGCTCTTGAGGCCTAGTACCAGGGCCGGTTCTAGCCAATTTGCTGCCCTAGGCGAGGTTTTATATAAAGATTAAATGAAAAATCTCTACAAAAGACAATACACTACAAAACTGTGGGTTTTCCCTTGTACGATGTGATGGTCTCAGGATAGACGGTGTCGTTTTTTTCTCATACTGATATTCTGAACAATCTGTGCTATTGTATTACAGTAGCTGTAAAGTGTCTCTACTGTAGGCTATTTTTATTATATGTACAGCACTTTGGCTCGACCAAAAATCGTTTATAAATGTGCTATATAAATAAAACTTGATTTGATTTGAAAAACAGAAACTTATTAACATAGGTAATATACGTCAAAATGGCTTCAAATGTATTCAGTATTGTATGAACTTGTTTTAATTGGGGGGTGGACGTCACATCCTCTAGGGGGATCCGGGGGTATGCCCCCCCCCCCCCCCCAGGGAAGATTTTTTTTTAACATTTTAAAGTAAAATGCTTCAATCTGGTGCACTTTGAGCACACAATTACTAGAGACCTGATCTAGGGGGTACAACTCTAAAACACCCATATGAAAAAGATCTCTCCAACTTAAAACGATATTTTTGGTTTACCGTCCTATAGTATACATTGGAATGATTTCAAACCTGTTTTTATTTATCCTAATAATTTTAAAGGAGTGCCTTGGAAATACACATATTTCCAGAGACCCACTGAGATAACTTGGACTAAGATTAACTATCTAAACACTCAAGAGTCCTTTACCTCACTGAGCCTCTCAGTCTGACAGGTGAGCTCTCCTCCACCCTGGTTGTAGAAACATCTTCTTATATCCGTTAGAGCAGCTAGCACCAGATTCTAATAACAACAGCGCCGGTACCGATGCGCCCTCTCTCTCTCTCTCCTTCGCTCTCTCGCTCCCACGCTCGCACTTTGGCTGTGAGCTGCAGGCGCCTGATCCCCCACTTTCATCACTTACAGCGCCCATCGTACAGGGCAAATGAAAAGTGTAACCGGGGTGAAAAGGGTGTTACATTTACTTAACTATGAATGTTGTTACATCAAGGCAGAAAATTAGGATGAGCACCAACGGTCAAAAATGTTTTTTCCCCTCCCAGAGCTACCAGCACAGCGCCCCCCAGATCTGGCGTCCTAGTACTAGGCCCTGCCAGTACATACAGTGGCAATGTCTTGGTAAATGGACTGTACTTATATAGCGCTTTATCCAGTCTTTACGACCCCTCAAAGCGCTTTACATACTACATGTCATTCACCCATTCACACGCATTCATACAGAGCAGTACCACTTGCTCTAGGACCTAACATTCACACACATTCACACACCGTTGGCCATGCCATCGGGAGCAACTCAGGGTTAAGTATCTTGCCCAAGGATACATCGACATGTTGGCTGCACGGGCTGGGATCGAACCCACAACCTTCTGGTTGAAAGACGACCGCACTCCCTCGCAGCCAGAGTCGCCCTCTGTCCTAAATGTCTCAAGATTTAGCAAAAATACACTTCTATTGAACATACAGTAGCACAAGGCCTGCAAATCCACATAACAAACAATCAAAAATGAAAAAGGGTGGCATATTTTAGCGGCGGCGCAGCTGAATATAGGGGAAACATTGGTTTTAAACAAATGAAAAAAGTCATAGTATTATACGTGGAAATAAGATGCTACAATCCCCCACTGTGCTACGAATAAATGATTTCTTATTCTGTCCCCCCTCTCTCTCCCCCTCTCTCTCCCCCCCTCTCCCCTCAGGCACTCGTCGGACCGGGTGAACCAGCTGGAGTCTCTGGTGGAAACGTACAAGAGGAAGCTGGAGGACCTGGGCGATCTGCGCAGACAGGTGCGCCTCCTGGAGGAGAGGAACACCGTCTACATGCAGCGCACCTGTGAGCTGGAGGAGGAGCTGAGGAGAGCCAACGCTGTCCGAAACCAGCTGGACACCTACAAGAGACAGGTGAGGGAGGGGACAGGGGGGAGCCACTTCATCCTCGAGGATAACATGGCTTTGCATCCAGAACACAGCTTAGAGTCACACTATATAGTAGAGAGAATATCCAACTGGTCCCACCCATCACTTCTCTTAGGCATCATCTAAACATCCCCACCATTAAACCACACCAGTCCTTTAACCATTTGCAAATCCACCTTTTGCCCTTCCTGAAAGGTCAATCCTAAACATATGTCTCTGTTAAACACATATAGGATTAAAAATACTATTTAAACGAGTAAAAGGCAATCGGAGTATAAGATATAATTGAAATGATTATATGAACGACACTATGCTTTGTGACTTTCAGGCCCAAGAGCTTCACACCAAGCACTCTGCAGAGGCCATGAAAGCTGAGAAGTGGCAGTTTGAGTACAAGAACCTCCACGACAAGTATGACGCACTGCTGAAGGAGAAGGAAGTGAGTCAAAGATCTGTAGAGGGGTGCAGGAATGAGTCCTCACACCTAGAAATAGATCAGCAGCTTTGTCGTCTCGAAGCCAATGGGTTTTGGTGAGATGCCTGAAATAATGTCCGATTGTCCGTGGTTAACGCTGAACAAATGTTAACGATTTGTTCTACGACCAACTTGAGTTTGTGAGAAAGCCTTCACTCCTCAGTCAATTCAAACGAGACATTTTGGTGCAGGAATGAGTCCTAAAATCCAGATGCAAGTCAGCATTTGTAAGTTAGCACTGTTTTATGAAGATGCCTGGAATAATGTCAGTAAAAAGCTTTTCATGTGAGGAATTGTTGACGGGCAGATCTCTATTCTTCAGTGAACTCCCACGTCCTGTAGCACCTTCTGCAATCTGACAGGAGTGATTAATGTCCTCAGTAACGCGTGGGAGTAATTAAAAAATACGTACCGCGCTCAAATCAAGTGTAAATTTGCTTTGTAGCTAGTGTGAGTCTCAATAAAGAGAAACTTGATGCTCCATGGGGTTCTATGTAAATCAGATTTCCCCCAATTACTGCCCTAAGTTTAAATCTAAAATGTACACTAATCAACTGGTATGATGGACCAATCGGTTCAAATTATAAGAATAAGAAATGTCTTCCATATGGCATTTTATTCATGCATAGCTTTAATATTCAACTTGTTATGAGTACATATACATCAAAGAATGGATTTGGTCTCTGTAATTCCTTATGTATAGCAATTTCCTCATCATATTTATTGAGAATTGAAGTTGAAATGTGTGTTTTTGTCCCTCCTCAGCGTCTGATCTCGGAGAGAGACACACTGCGGGAGACAAACGATGAGCTGAGGTGTGCTCAGGTCCAGCAGAGAGGTCTCAGTGGATCAGGTGAGTTGTCATTTTACTTGGATGTGAGGCGGTTGATTGGGTTTTAGTCAAGGTTTTATTTTTACATTTTCTGAATCATAATACTGAACCTATCATGCAAAATGCACTTGTTGATGTCTTGTATACATACAGACGTGTCCCTGGTGCGTCAGGGAACTCACGCAGCGTCAGGAAATAAAACCCTCTCTCTTTTCCTCCGTACCCAAATCTCTAAAAACGGGGCTACAACGGAGCTGATCCAGATTTGCGTCCGATATGACGTAATATCTGAAATGTGGACCCACGGCCCTATGAGAAAGTTGCTATCAGAAACAATGCCCGACTGTTTTGGACGTAATATGGTCGGTGTTTACATTAGCATCGCTAACACTCAGAGCTAACCTGTACTGGAGAGCATGTGTGTGAAGAAGCAGGAAGTAAAAAGGAACTCACCTTGTTGGCAAGAGACTGGCAAGAGAGAAAGTCTTTGAGCTCCATACTGTTTCAGAAAGAATCCTTGATAATCCATGATATGGCGTTTCATCACCTCAGTATTTAGTTTAGACAGTAGCTGCTGGGTCCCGCATGAGCTCCGACCCCTCCTTCTTTATTTTTTAAAGCTTTATACCCAAATCAGCACTTTTGAAACAGGAAGTGAAACAGAGGGATATGAGGCATGGCTAGAATGGGTGATCTGTTTGGTATTTTGAGCAAAACACTTCATAGACATGTTTTTTATATATTTGTATATATCTGAGACCTATGCTATTGCCTACAAATAGCATGATAGGTGACCTTTAATGAATCAGAAATTGGGTTTTGTGACAGTTGCTCTATCTATAATTAAATTAAAATGTTATTAAAAGGTACAAATTGTTCTATATACATGAAGAGTATATAGGTAAAAGCTTTGGAGCAGTATGTGAAGTCTAATTCTGCTGTTTAATTATCTTAATTGAATCAGCCGCTGACATTTAATCTCTCTCTCTGCAGGAGGACTGCGTGACAACGACGTCACCGTGGGAAACCTCGCAGCTGAGATCATGCCCACTGAGCTCAAGTGTGTGTGTGTGTGTGTGTGTGTGTGTGTGTGTAAAAATAAAATATAAATTTAGGAAGCTAAATCCAAAATGTGTGACAACAGGATAAAATAGAATAACAGTATTTAAATGAACATAGAATTAGATTTTGCTTTTAAAAGAGATTTGGTATCAGAGGAACTTCATGCATGATATCAGCAGCCCTATATTTATCTTCAACAGTGCTTTAGCAACAGATGTCATGTATATTTGGCCGGGGCGTTGTCTGAAAAATGCTCGACACTCCCATTTCATCTATCCTCCACTTTCTTACTCCCCCCTTTCATTGACTTGTTCTCCTTCTGTTCCTCCAGGGAGACGGTGGTGCGTCTGCAGAGCGAGAACAAGATGCTGTGTGTTCAGGAGGAGACGTACCGGCAGAGAGTGGTGGAGGTTCAGGCCGAGCTGGAGGAGGCTCAGCGCAGCAAGAACGCCCTGGAGACTCAGAACAGGTAGAGAGAGAGAGTGTGTGACTACGTTTCTGGTGCCGGTCAACGTGTCTGACCGTTTTCTGGCAATGTTGCTAAAAATGTCTGTAACCAACTTGACTCAACAACACTGACAAGAGCAAAACATCCAGGAGTTAAAAGCTAACGATAGGCTATAAAGCAGAGGTGGGACCAAGTCATTGTTTTGCAAGTCCGAGTCAAGTCTCAAGTCTTTGCGCTCAAGTCAGAGTCAAGTCTCAAGTCAGGATGGGCAAGTTCAAGTCAAGTCCTAAACTTTGACAAAACGAGTCTTAAACAAGTCATTAAGTGCTTTTCACCAAATGTAATGTAACCACTCCGCTCCTCCGCTCCCTTCACTGGCTTCCGGTAACTGCTAGAATCCACTTCAAAACACTGGTACTTGCGTACCATGCTGCGAATGGATCTGGCCCTTCCTACATCCAGGAAATTGTTAAACCGTACACCCTAGCGCGTGCACTCCGCTCTGCATCAGCCAAACGGCTCGCTGCACCCGCACTGCGAGGGGGACCCAAGTTCCCATCAGCAAAAACACGTGGGTTTGCTGTCCTGGCTACAAGATGGTGGAATGAGCTCCCCATTGACATCAGGACAGCAGATGGCTTGCACATCTTCCGGCGCAGACTTAAAACCCATCTCTTTCGACTCCACTTCGAGCAATAGAACTATTAACAAAGCACTTATATACTAATAAAGGGCTGGCTTATCTAAAGCCAGTTGAGTAGCACTTGAAATGTTTGGCTCTATGAAACCTGATGTACTTATATGATTCTGTTTTCTTCAAGGTTATATCTTCCTGGTCGAAGGTACTTATTGTAAGTCGCTTTGGATAAAAGCGTCAGCTAAATGTAATGTAATGACATCGATCAACAGAATAATACTTAATAATCAAACTGCTCTTTATTAGTCACATTCATAATTTAATAATCAATTTTCTCTCTGCTGGTAAAGTAAAGTGTTTTTTTCTATTTTAAGAGGGATCAGTAAGGTAAGGCTACCGTGACGGTTTGATTCAGAAGGAGTTTAATGTATAAGATCCCTGATGTTAAGGTAACCAGAATGTTTATTTCCACTGTGTACAACATGTTATGAGGGACCCACAATCTATCTTAATGCAAGGGATAATGTGCAGCGAGGCGGGCTCTATAGGGAAGAGAACACCTGAATCTAGATCCCTCTGCAGGTGGTACTTTAACTATATTTTGATGCTAATACTTTTGTACTTTTTATCGTAACCGAGTATTCCTAAACTAAAAAAAAAGTACAAGATCTGAACTTCTCCCACCTCTGACAATAAATCCTGGTTACCAAAAAAGAAAACCCTGCTCTGAAGGTTATTTTCATTTTACAAATCCTGCACTCAGCTTTGCTTTCTCCAATATCATTGAAAAGCAGCCAGATGCTGCTTATTTTTTCAGTTTTCGCTCATTTCTTGACTTTTTTTCGACGCTCTTGCATTTCAATCCGTCTCCCCGTCGCTCTGTGCAGCTGGCCTGTACCACTACACCTGCTGTGCCCCCCACCCTTCTTTCACATAATGGTATGATCCTAGTGTGTCCTCGCATATGATTGGGCGCATGGTGGCCCAGCTAAATAAAGACCCGTCCCTGCCTGCAAGGATTCTCAGCCAGAGTAGGAGCGGCTGAAGATTCTGCACTCCCCGACGGGAGTCTGCTCTTCTAGCGGCATCTCGCGATCGGCGTGTTGGAGACCTCTGAATTAAAGTATCAAGTCACCTCAAGTCAGAAGGCTCAAGTCCACGTCAAGTCCCGAGTCATTGGTGTTCAAGTCCAAGTCGAGTCGCAAGTGTTTTGTGATTTTGTCAAGTCGAGTCTCAAGTCATCAAATTGGTGACTCGAGTCCACACCTCTGCTATAAAGGAACTACAGCACGGTCACATGACTTCACGTTACCACCGCTAAGCTAAAGGTGGCTAACGTTGGGCTATAAAGGAAGTACAGCACGGTCACATGACTTCACGTCACCACCGCTAAGCTAAAGGCGGTTAATGTTGAATAGGAACTCTTGGAAAACAAGACCTAAATGCTATTGCTGGGTCATAACGTTATCAGTTTGTGTTTCTTAAATCAAATGTCCTAGCTGTTCCTCCACAACCCTCATTGTACACAAGCATGGTGTGTTGTGGACATGCAGTGCTAGTTCTCGTTGTGTTGAGTGATCGTTCCCCTGCGAGGCGCCGCAGTGTGTGTGTGTGTGTGTGTGTGTTCATCAACAACACAGTGTGTGTTCATTAAGCTGCTTGTTGGCTGCCGGTGGGAGTGAGATCTGCCTAAATGTCAACTCACCCTCTGGACTGTGTGTGTGTGGGCGGGACTGCAGAAAGCCAGATTGTCCACGACTGTGTGTGTTTGTGTGGGCATGTGGACATGTGGGTGGGATGCGTGTGTGTGTGTGTGTGTGTGTGTGTGTGTGTGTGTCCTTTGCAACACCAGGGTGTGGGAAGCCGGATCATCATCACCCAGTAGTGTTGTGGAGGGGGGAAAATGTACAGAGACCCACATGATACTTTGCATATGTATATATATTTTGTATATTCTCATGTTCCTGAATCAACAAACTGCCTCTTTGAAAATCACATGCCCATAGTCAGAAGTTTACAAGAAGAATTGCCTGTATAACTCAAATTAAATGCATAAAAAAAACATGTATATATTGCAAAACTGGTCAAATAAGGGAGTACACACACTTAAAAAATCTAGAACATTAAGGAAAAGCTACTTAAAAACAATAAAATCACAACATGGATGACAGACTTTGTTTAATACATCCTTCAATAATGAGGACTAATTGATAAACCCCTCCAATATCGTGAGTCATATCGCAATATCTGTCAAAGTAATCGCAATTAGATATTGTTCTTTAATTGTACTCATCTCTATTGTAGAAATGAGAATTATGTTGAAAAATTGTACATACGGTATTCAAACCCTCACTAACTAACCGATACTTTGCATACATCTTTCCACCCACAGCATCAACTTAAAGACTGTTTATGTTCACCATCTACTTCCCTTTTCTTGGCTGCTATGTCCACACTAACACTCGTCCTTTTTGTTTCCTTTAAACATGTTCTTTCTGTCCCTATCGTCTCCTCTCCCTGGTGTTTGTCTCTCAGGTTGGACCAGCAGCAGATCTCAGAGCTGCGTTCTCAGATCGAGGAGCTTCAGAAAGCTCTGCACGATCAGGACGGCAAAACTGAGGACGTGAGTGGAGACAGATTCTCATCTCCTTTCTCCTCTCTTTTCTGATGTCCTGTTGACAGAATATTGACAGTGTGCACAACACTTGACAATGTGTAACTGATTGACCAGATGCATGCACAGCTGCAACCAGGAGATGCTGCAGAAACTTAACAAGTCTAAAAAAGACAAATGTATTAAAATAATCTAAAATAAGGTCTTAATATTGTAATAAAATGTCAGTCTAAAGCTTTTAAAATGCTAAAAAATGGTACCATCTATTTCTACTATCCACATACGGGCACATAATGAATCCTATGATAAATCAACTAATCAAATATGTGTTCAACAAGAAAATAACTAGCTGAAGTCATTCTTCATGCATAAATACTTTTTTAGCCGATAATCAGCTGATTGTCTCCGTTTTCTCATATTTAACTGAATATTTTTTTTTGTTTTTCTTTGGGAAACAAGCCACTTAAAGACATCACCTTGGACTTTGAGAAACTGTGCCATTTTTCACTATTTTCTGCCTTTTTTTTTAGACCAAACAATTAATCAACGAACCTAAAAAAAAAATGGATCACTCGATGATTAAAGTACCGTAGTTGCAGCTCTGGATGCATGGCATGTTTTAGTAGCGGTTGCAGTGTTTGGTTCATGTTGTGTGGAATGTATTTAACCCATGTGTGCCGTGGTGATTGACTCTAACGTTCCTCTCTGTCTCTCTGCGTCGCCTCCTCCGATCTCCCGCCAAAATCAGGCCATCGTAAGTACGGCCCTCCCACACCCGGCCATGATTCAACTCGCTACCAGCTTTCAATGTGTGTTTGTGTTTAAATTAGAAAGCATTGTGTTTTTTAGTTTGAGTTTAATACGTTTTCTCTTCTCCTTTTGAAGTCGTCCTTACTGAAGAAAAAGCTGGAGGAGCATCTGTAAGTAAACCCACTGTTACATCCAGATGTTCTTTAATTAGCATGAGCACCTGCATTAGCATCCCCATTAGCATTAGCTTGCTTTACTTCCTTGGGTCCACACATATATATTTTATAGCACTTTTTAATACTCAAAAGGTAACACAAAGATCTTCACGAACCGGAAATACTAACACTACTACCCCGCCTTCTTCTTAGGTCATAGAGTAACGCATATCTTTGTGATTAATAACAAATAACACTATAGCCAAATAAAGACAACAAGTAAACACAAACAAAACAACTTCTCATCTTTAACCAACAAGTACAGAAGTGATACAAAATGATCATCCTTTCAACATCATTAAGCCAATTAACAATCAATGTGTCAATTAATAATTAACTAAGCGGTACTTTATCATTGATCCAAAATTGGGAAATGTTTGCGTTGCAGCAGCAAAACGACAAAACAAGGCAATGCACACAAGAAGAAATTAAAGAGTAAAAATAAACAATAGTAGAATTTTAAACATCTCAAAATAGAATTAAAGCAGCATTAAAAAAAAAAAAAAGAAGTGCATCTGTTTTATGTATATCCTGCTTACTTGAAGTAAACGATTATTTTGTGTTTGTTTTTTTGTAAATTATTGAGTGTTTTTGTGTTTGTTTTTGTATACCTCGGGACTGTGGGAAACAGTATTTCGATCTTTCTCTTGTGTACAAACATATTTTGAGATTAACAATAACGTTGACTTTGGATTTAAAAAGTAGAAAATATACAGTAACCGTGAAGATAAAACAAATCGATAAACTCTGACAATAAAACACGATTGAAGGGCAATTTATAGTTATTTATAAGAAACTAACCTAGTCTAAAAACACCTTACATTTTTTTATCAATAATATTATGTAATATGTATATAGTGCTTTTCGCAGTGCTCAAAGATGCTTAAAAATAAGCACTCAACCAAATTAAAGGTCAATAGGCACGTTCACACCGGAGTACTTTTCCCCGGAATAGTTCCGATAGTTCCTGGGATTTTGCGTTCACACCAAAAAGATCTGGAACTAGAACTTTTCTTTGCTAACCTTTTTAGTCCCTGCTGAGAGGTGGTACTTTCGTGGGGAGGAAAAGGTTACAATTTCTGATTGGCTGGGCGGATTGCAAACCACGCCCCGTAAAACTCGTTTTTGTGAAGACGCCATTTTATTTCCTAGCATTAGCCCAGCGCACCAACGGAGAGAGACTAACTTATGGCAACACAAAAAAAAAAAATTGAGTGATGAGGAGGTGTCGGCGTTTTGCCGATTTACTCAGGACTTTGGGTGGCCAAAAGTCGGGCTCCGGGACTTCGGGTGGCAGTATACGCCGTGAAGTGGTTTGCGGCCTGCCAGTAAACCCAAAGCAGAAGAAGTGACGTCAGCGGCTTCATTTGACTAATCTTCCCTCAGGGAACTTATTCCGGTGTGAACGCGATCTGCACTTAGTTCCATGGGGGTACTAAGTGCTGGGCACTAAGTACGGCAAAGCGCTTGGTGTGAAAGCGGCTAATATTTATCCATGTTGTACCAAACTAAAGTGAACTCTCTCTCCTGCTGTGTATCTGTTTCAGAGAGAAGCTCCATGAAGCTCACTCTGATCTGCAAAAGAAGAGAGAGGTCATCGATGATCTGGAGCCCAAAGTGGACGGCAAGAGTGAGTAGTTTCTTAACACAATCAAGAAGGAGCATGATGCCAATATGTACCTTTTTAATTTTTTTATTTATCCCAAACACGGAACACATTCTCCACATGCAATAAAATAAGTATAAATAAATGATGTAAAATGTTAAAAATAATAATATATAAGTAAAGAAATCTCAAAAAGAAATAACTTTAATGAGACCCTTCATGCAAAATGCACTTTATGATGTCTTTTATACATAAACATGTGTCCCCGGTGTGTCGGGAACTCACGCAGCGTCAGAAAATAAAACCCTCTCTCTTTTCCTCCGTACCCAAATCTCTAAAAACGGGGAACAACGGAGCTGATCCAGATTTGAGTCCAATATGACGTAATATCTGAAATGTGGACCCACAGAAAGTTTCTGTATCAGAAACAATGCCGGACGTGTTTTGGATGTAATCTCGTCTTTGTTTTTTACTTTAGCCAGCCTCGCTAACACTCAGAGCTAACCTGTACTGGAGAGCACATGTGTTTAAAAAAGCAGGAAATATAAAAAGGAACTCACCTTGTGATAGACCCGCAAGAGAAAAAGCATTTGAGCTCCATACTGTTTCAGAAATAATCCTTGATGTGGTTTGGAACAGGATGGCGTTTTATCACAGCAGAATTTAACTTTATATTATCTCCGGTATAATTCTGATCAGGCATTAGCTCCGCCTCCTCTTTATTTTCTTCAAGCTAAGGACCCAAAATCCGCGTTTCTCTAACAGGGCTGCAAAAGAGGGGTATGAGGGATTTCTAAAATGCATTATCTGTTTGTATTTTGAGAAAAACACATAGACATGTTTTTATATATCTGACACCCATAATGTATGCCTAAAACAGCATGATGGGAGACCTTTAAATAAAGAAAATGACAAAGACAGCACAACAGTAGAAGGAATATTCAGATGTGTACACTGAGGGGAATGCAAGTAGATTCTTAATAATGTCACTTAACACTCTTAGATTTCTGTAATGGCTGCCTCTTTGAGATTATATTCAGATGTTTGTTTTCCTCCCTCTCAGTGTTGAAAAAGATCAATGAGCTCCAGGAGAGTCTGAAGAAGAAAGACGCGGACATGAAGCAGATGGAGGAGCGGTACAAACGATATGTGGAGAAGGCGAGGACGGTCAGTGAAACTCAACATTTACACATAATATAATTTACAGTTTGAACAAACACTAAAGTAACTCTTAAAACATCGACGGTAGAAAAAAGACGGACTAAAGTGTGGCTGAAGATTTAAAGCTTTAACAAAACTAAGACTGGTCCATCTTACTTTGTTCCCTTTTAAAAGTATGACTTAATATGTTGGTCCAACAGTTGCATTATGGGTAATGTAGGCGCCAGATTTTGACGAAGAAGTATTTAAAATAAAATAGAATACAAATTAAAATAATAATACAGCAAAAATAATCAGAGGTGGGAAGTAGCGGAGTACAAATACTTTGTTACTGCACTTAAGTACATGTTTCTGGTATCAGTACTTTACTACTTATTTTTCTGACGACTTTTTACTTTTACTTCTTACATGTTGAACCCAAATACCTGTACTTTCTACTTCTTACATTTTGAATACAAATACCTGTACTTTCTACTTCTTACATGTTGAATACAAATACCTGTACTTTCTACTTCTTACATGTTGAACACAAATACCTGTACTTTCTACTTCTCACATGTTGAACACAAATACCTGTACTTTCTACTTCTTACATGTTGAACACAAATACCTGTACTTTCTACTTCTTACATGTTGAACCCAAATACCTGTACTTTCTACTTCTTACATTTTGAATACAAATACCTGTACTTTCTACTTCTTACATGTTGAATACAAATACCTGTACTTTCTACTTCTTACATGTTGAATACAAATACCTGTACTTTCTACTTCTTACATGTTGAACACAAATACCTGTACTTTCTACTTCTCACATGTTGAACACAAATACCTGTACTTTCTACTTCTTACATGTTGAACACAAATACCTGTACTTTCTACTTCTTACATGTTGAACCCAAATACCTGTACTTTCTACTTCTTACATGTTGAACCCAAATACCTGTACTTTCTACTTCTTACATTTTGAATACAAATACCTGTACTTTCTACTTCTTACATGTTGAATACAAATACCTGTACTTTCTACTTCTTACATGTTGAACACAAATACCTGTACTTTCTACTTCTCACATGTTGAACACAAATACCTGTACTTTCTACTTCTTACATGTTGAACACAAATACCTGTACTTTCTACTTCTCTCATTTTCCAAACATGCTGGTTCCTTTAGTTTGAATGTGTGTTTGGTGGCGTGATCATTATTCTTTAGAGTCATGAGGCGCATTCACACTGCGGTACTTTTCCCACAAAGGTTCATGTGAACTCTTTTATCGCGTTCACACCAAAAAGAGCCGGTACTAAAATTAGTTCATGTGGACCTTTTTACCCCCACGAAAGTCCCTGCTAGAGAGCAGGGACTTTCGTGCTTCTCTCTTGTGAGAAAAGAGCTATATTTCTGATTGGCTGGGCGGATTGCAAACCACGCCCCGTAAAACTCCCAAAAAGTTTTGTGAAGCCGCCATTTTATTATCCTTGCATTAGCATTATTAGCATTAGCATTATTAGCATTAGCATTAGCCCAGCGCAGAAACGCAGAGAGACTAACTTATGGCAACACAAAATAAAACATGGGAGCGGTGGAGATGAGGAGGTGTCGGCGTTCTGGCGATTTACTCGGAAGGCTTCAGTAGAAGCTGCTGGGAGTCCCAGCAGCTTCTACTGAAGCCAGTCCCCAACTCCGGGGACTTCCGGCCGGGGACTTTGGGCGGCAGTATACGCCGTGAAGTGGTTTGCGGCCTGCCAGTAAACCCAAAGCAGAAGAAGAAGAAGTGACGTCAGTGGCTTCATTTGCCTAATCCACCCCCAGGGACTTTTTCCAGTGTGAACGCGATCTGTACTTAGTTCATGCGAACTAAAGAGTTCACATGAACTAAGTTCACATGAACCTTTGTGGGAAAAGTACTGCAGTGTGAAAGCGCCTCTTGCGTGCCTATTGATTTGAACACGATCTGTGTATCCATCATTTCCTGGTCTTCTCTAAAGAAGAGGGACCAATGAAAACGTTGCCGTTGTTCAGCATGGAAACATTCATTAGCTAACAATGACATTATTGTTCTATTAATATAAAGGGAGGTCAGGTACTCTTTTAAAACAGCTGCTAGTTATGGGTACTTTTTACGGAAGTACATTTCAAAGCCTCTTTACTTTGACTTTGGTAAAAGTACTGACTAAACTTCTTTACTCGAGTATTTTTAAACACGAGTATCTGTACTTCTACTTGAGTAAAGGATGTGTACTTTGCCATCTCTATAAAGTGATAAAGTGATTGTTTCTCAGGTGATCAAAACCCTGGACCCGAAGCAGCAGCCGGGCCCCGAGGCTCCGGAGATTCAGGCTCTGAAGAACCAGCTGACGGAGAAAGAGAAGAAGCTCCAACACCTCGAGGTACGAAGTCTCTGACATCAAGAGATGAACTATGAACCCTGTGTAGCTGCTTTTATAAATGACTAATGAACGATGATGTGTTGCAGCACGACTACGAGAAGAGCCGAGTCCGACACGACCAGGAAGAGAAACTCATCATCACCGCCTGGTACAACATGGTGAGTCTAACGGCCCGTCCACACAGCGGCGTGCGTTGAAGCTTGCGGGCGGGCGTGTCTGAAACTCGACCAACAACCAATCACATGAATCTCCCGCCCCTGACACACAAGCAGCGGTTTGATTGGCTAGATCTTGTACTGGCATATGATTCGATTGGCTGGCGCTTCTGCCGAGGCTTCAAAAGTTGAACATTGCTCAACTTTTGCCCACAATGCAGTTCGGCAAAAAGTGACGTGACCCCATTCAAAGTGAATGGTGAAGCTTTCAACGCACGTCCACAACGAGCCGTAAGAGTACAGAAAAAACATGAGGATGACCCAACGGGTTTTTATAGTTTTCATGCATTTCAAAAAAATACACGTTTTGATTTAGAGCTGAAACTCCTTTGTTTACTTCAGGAATATGGTGACATGACTTTGTAAAACTCACGCTCTTTAAAGTAGAGACACTACATACTGATGTACACCTGAACATCAGCAGGAGAGGACTCTTTAAAGTAGAGGCACTACATACTGATATACACCTGAACATCAGCAGGAGAGGACTCTTTAAAGTAGAGACACTACATACTGATATACACCTGAACATCAGCAGGAGAGGACTCTTTAAAGTAGAGACACTACATACTGATATACACCTGAACATCAGCAGGAGAGGACTCTTTAAAGTAGAGGCACTACATACTGATATACACCTGAACATCAACAGGAGAGGACTCTTTAAAGTAGAGACACTACATACTGATATACACCTGAACATCAGCAGGAGAGGACTCTTTAAAGTAGAGGCACTACATACTGATATACACCTGAACATCAGCAGGAGAGGACTCTTTAAAGTAGAGACACTACATACTGATATACACCTGAACATCAGCAGGAGAGTACTCTTTAAAGTAGAGACACTACATACTGATATACACCTGAACATCAGCAGGAGAGGACTCTTTAAAGTAAAGACGCTGCATACTGATATACAACTGAACATCAGCAGGAGAGGACTCTTTAAAGTAAAGACGCTGCATACTGATATACAACTGAACATCAGCAGGAGAGGACTCTTTAAAGTAAAGACACTACATACTGATATACACCTGAACATCAGGAGAGGACTCTTTAAAGTGAAGACACTACATACTGATATACACCTGAACATCAGCAGGAGAGGACTCTTTAAAGTACAGACACTACATACTGATATACACCTGAACATCAGCAGGAGAGTACTCTTTAAAGTAGAGACACTACATACTGATATACACCTGAACATCAGTAGGAGAGGACTCTTTAAAGTAAAGACACTACATACTGATATACACCTGAACATCAGGAGAGGACTCTTTAAAGTGAAGACACTACATACTGATATACACCTGAACATCAGCAGGAGAGGACTCTTTAAAGTACAGACACTACATACTGATATACACCTGAACATCAGCAGGAGAGGACTCTTTAAAGTAGAGACACTACATACTGATATACACCTGAACAGCAGCAGGAGAGGACTCTTTAAAGTACAGTCACTAAATTCCCCCTTCTTCTTCCTCAGGGCATGGCGTTGCATCAGAAAGTCTCCGGGGAGTGTCTCGGTCCGTCTAAGCAGGCGATGTCTTTCCTCGCTCAGCAGAGACAGTCCACCAACGCCAAGAGAGGCCTCATCCGACACCACCCCAGATAAAACGGACACTGAGAGGAACCAGGAGAAGCACCTGAACTCCCCGTAACTTTGCCTTAATTTCCTCTGGATCTCTGCCCCTCAGAGGATTTCAACGCTGCTGCTGCCCCCTGCTGGCTGTCAATGGTACGACGATGATTCATTTCTCTGTGGAGCCCTGGAGGACACAGAATAAACTCCTAGAAGCAGATTAAAATGGAGTTTTAAAGTCCTGAAAAGAGGCTGAATCACCTTCTAAGGTGACTTTTATTTCCTCTGTAGCCTCGTGGACACTATCCTGTTTCTTTATGGTTTGTTTTTAGTCTTTTATGCTTTAGAACAGGATGAAATGTGAACTAGTTGTTAAGGTTACAGTTGAAGAATGTTTGACTAGAGAGGAGTTATTAGGGGCTTTTACATTTACCATAATGAGGGCTTGAAAATACTTAAAGCCACACAGACTGGTACATCTTTTATTTTGTCGTCTTGATCATGTGTTTGGATTTTTTCATTTGAAGATGCTCGAAAAAGTTGCGTTGATGGCTTTAGTCTTTTTTAACCCCTTTTTTGGATCTATTTTCTCTCTAAAATTCATTATAAGAATTGGTTAAAATGTGCGTACAGATACATCGAAGCACTTTCATATAGAGTGACGTTGTTTAGTGCCTCAAAGAAAACAAACCTCCCTCTATGGTGGAGAATGAACATTTTAAAGTATCATATATTTTACATACTAATGTTCTCGACATTTTTTTTTTTTTTTTTTGATTCGCTTCCCCTCTCCCCAAAGATTGAAGCAGGGTTTTGAGGGTTTGGACCTTTTAATGCACTTTAGACTTGATTGGCATTGGAATACACTGGAGTCCATTATGATAAAAACACTAATAATAATGACTCAGCTAATGGCTGTTTACCGCTGCTAGACCTCATTGACACTATCAACTGGAAGGAAATGTCTCTCTACGCTGGAAATATTTTAAATGTGTGTTGACAGGAAGTCTGATACGGTTTTAATACCAACACTTTATTTACTACCGTTGAATTTTCCCGTTTTCACCTCATGTAGTCATTTTAGTCCCAGATCAGAGCTACTGTTGGACTTGATCTACATCCCTGTGAGTGTGTGTGCGATGGACTACGTAGACCCATAGATCCTGCTGTGTTTTGACGTTTTTCTACTGCTGTTTGAGTTCATATTTCTAGTGTTACGTCACTATCTTTTGCTGCACATTTGAAGGGTTTTAGGTTGTGTGTTTTGTTTGAATCCTATAAAGGTCTCGTAGATTAAAGCATACTTCACACAGGGGTCTGAGAAGAAGATCTGTAGTCCTGTCTGTTCTACTTTTGCACTACAAATAAATGGGATCGTACGATAAGAAATGTTGGTCTGGTTGTTTTCTTTTTGGGGAGTAATGACTCAAAGCGTTTCTGAACACTTGTCCAGAAGGGCGTGAGAAAGAAGGCTGACCCAGGTTTTATCACCTTGCTTCTTGTTGTGGATGCACTTTAATTGTGTCAGGATCTAAAGGCCACACTCATTAGTCAGATTTCTCACGTCCTTTGGGCTGATCGGCAGAGTGAAATGTTGAAAGCATTGTTTATCGGTCACAACTTTCTCAGGGTGTCCGCAGGGTCTTAAAAAGTATTAAAAGTTGATAAATCAATTTAGCGAAAGTTAAGGCTATTAAAAAGTATGAAATGGCATTTTCCAAAGTATTACATGTAGCTTGTTTTCAATAAGTATATCAATGTTCCAAAGAGGTTGTATTCTACAGTGTGTCTGAATGTAATCATTGCGTAGGTGTGTAGTGTGATTCTGTGTAGTTTATTTATGGCATCCTGTTGGATTTGACGTCATCTGAACAGGACATCGCACGCTCACTGCTTGATAGCGCGCGAAGGTCCGTTTACGCCGGTTGTTAAACAACATCGTTATGGGGAAATGCAAGTCTGCGTCCAAATGGTTGGAAGATAAGGAGGAAGGACACTCAATACTGTATATAGTAAAGTGTGTCGCCAATGTAACCGGTTAGAACTCAAAGTGGCGATGAGGTCTTAAAATGTATGGAAAGGGTCTTAAAAGGTCTTACATTTGACTTCAGGATTCCTGCATATAGCCTACCCTGTTTCTACAAAGACGTGTTGACCAGCATAGTTGAATCTAGCTATCCAACTTGTAAGCACAACAATCATTTAAAATGCCATTTATCAGCACAGTCGTATCATGTCATATATATGGTCAAATAATGGGATAGTTTCCTATTAATCAGACAAGCAGTCAGTGCCTCTGCATCAGGTACAGCACATGTGTTGTCTCTGTGTCCACTTAATATCAATTCAAACACCATGACACAATTCCATCAGATTAATAATAAAAACCTGGAGTACATTATACAACATCTGAAATCCTCCTCCTGCTGCCTTGATATTATTCAGGATTTTTCAAAGATGTTTTGCCTTGCATGGCCTCAGATCTACTTCATATAGTAAACAAATCTCTTCCCTCAGGTGTTTTTCCACAGTCCCTGAAAACTGCAGTCATTAAACCGCTCTTAAAAAATAATAATCTAGATGCTTGAGTAATGAACAATTACAGGTCCATATCAAACATATGTAGCACGTACGAACTGCGCATGTGTGAGTGGCAATAACTCCTTACCTGCAGGCGCCGGTAGTGTGTATTCGTTATTCAAAAGAGGCAACAACCGGATGACAGACTGCGTGATACACCGAGAAGAAGAACAGACTGCGTGATATAAACGAACAAATAGTGTGTGCGTTGCATTTTTACTCTACAGCGAGAAGCTCACGGGGCTTTCCCGAACCTGAGTCGAGAGCTGGAGTTAAATGAAATCTCAGATTTGCCTTCTTAATAGTTTGTTTGGGTCCCTCACTTCCATTTCGCTTCTCATGCACTGATTCGCTAACTGAACAGCCAATCAGTGATTTATTTAACCGACAGCCTTTGGCCGATTGCCTACCGATTTGACATGTCGAATCGGTAGGTTTTAAGCCAAAAAGGTGTCAACACGGCCAAAAAGACACGACGCACCAATCCGAGTACGGCGACAGGACGCTCATCGTCGGCCTGGTATCCATCGACGGCCAAAATCGGCTTGGTGTGTCCGGGGCTTAAAGGTCTTTAATGACATCCACTTAAACACAGACAGTGGCAGATCTTCAGTGTTAGTATTATTAGATCTCAGTGCTGCGTTTGACACTGTTGACCACAGCATATTACTAGACCGACTGGAAAACTGGGTGGGACTTTCATCAACAGTTCTACATTGGTTTGAATCCTACTTAAAGGACAGAAAAAACTTTGTTTCTATAGGTAAATACACATCTGAGTTGATAAATATGACATCTGGGGTACCTCAAGGCTCCATCCTGGGGCCTCTTCTCTTTAACATCTACATGCTGAAAAACTACAAAATAAGTTACCATAGCTATGCGGATGACACACATTTACGTAACCATTTCACCAGGAGACGATGCTCCAATTCAAACACTGAGTAAGTGCATTGAACAAATCAATGACTGGATGTGTCAGAACTTTCTCCAAATAAACAAAGACAAAACTGAGGTAATGGTTTTTGGAGCCAAGGCAGAACGTATAAAAGTTAGCGCTGAGCTTCAGTGTGCAATGTTCAAAGCAACAGATAAAGCCAGAAATCTAGGTGTAGTCATGGACTCTGACCTGAGTTTCAACAGTCACATTAAAACAGTTACTAAATCAGCCTACTATCACCTAAAGAATATATCTAGGATTAAAAGACTAATGTCACAGCAGGATTTGGAAAAACTTGTCCATGCTTTTATCTTCAGTAGACTCGACTACTGCAATGGTGTCTTTACAGGTCTCACTAAAAAATCTATTAGGAAGCTGCAGCTGATTCAGAACGCCGCTGCTCGAGTCCTCACTAACACTAAGAAAGTGGATCACATCACTCCTGTTCTGAAGTCTTTACACTGGCTTCCTGTGTGTCAAAGAATAGATTTCAAAATACTGCTGCTGGTTTATAAAGCACTGAATGGTTTAGGCCCAAAATACATTTCTGACCTCCTGCTAAATTATGAACCATCCAGATCTCTCAGGTCTTCAGGGACTGGTCAGCTTTCTGTCCCCAGAGTCAGAACTAAACATGGTAAAGCAGCGTTTAGTTAATATGCTCCAAATATCTGGAACAAACTCCCAGAAACCTGCAGGTCCGCTGCAACTCTTATTACTTTTAAATCCAGGCTGAAGACTTTTCTTTTTGTCGCTGCTTTTAATTGATATATTCATATCTTAAACTGCACTGTAACTTTTATCCATGTATTTTTTCTTTTAATGTTTATTTTATTATCTTTTCTTTTTAATGACTGTTTTTAAATGCCATTTTCTTAATGTCTTTCATTTTTGTAAAGCACTTTGAATTGCCTTGTGTTGAAAGGTGCTATATAAATAAACTTGCATTGCCTATAGCGATAAAAAAGTCATAGTGTCATAAAAATATATATAAAATAGTTTGTCGAAATGTATCAAAAGTCATTGTATAGTATGTTGAAAAGTTCATAAAAGTCATAATACAGTATGTTAAAATGTATAAAAACAAGTTCAAGTATATATGATGTCAGAAATGTCATAACAAATAAAGGGTAGGTCAAAACATATATAAAAAGTTATGGTACGTTGAAAAACGAGTCATCCAATCCACTTTATTTCTATAGCATATTTTAAAAACAGAAGGTTTGCCAAAGTGCTTCACAACAAACATAACATTATAATAAAATATAATATAACAAGAATAGATAAAAGGCACACATAAGAATAGATACAAGGCACATAAAGGCAATGGACAGACAATAAAAGCATAAAATAGGTAGTGCATAGCTCAGAGCAGGGGCGTCCCTGGCCAACATGAGGCCCCACGCAGTCTGCATGATCAGCCTGTAGGGAGGGACGGCCCTGGCTCAGACTGACTCGAAAGTGAGGGAAAAGAGGTGGGTCTTTAGGCGGGACATAAAAGCTTGAAGAGTGGGCGACAATTTGACATGGGGGGGCAGGTCGTTCCAGAGCCTGGGGGCTACCGCTGAGAAGGCTCGGTCTCCCCTGGTCTTTTTCTTGGTTTTAGGGACTACCAGCCGCAGCTGATCAGCTGACCTCAAAGCCCTTGAGGGGGTGTACACCTTAAGGAGGTCGGAGATGAACTGAGGGGCCAGCCCATTAAGCAATTTAAAAATAAAGAACAGAATCTTAAAATGAACTCTAAAATGGACAGGAAGTCAGTGGAGGGAAGCCAGAGTTGGGGTGATGTCGTCATGCTGTAAGCGGCCGAGCCGCAGCGTTTTGTACAAGCTGCAGGCGTGCCAGCGAGGTCTGGTTTAGGGCGGCATACAGTGCATTACAATCAGTCATAGTCGTAGAGTCATAGTCTAGTGTGTTGAAAAAAGGCATGAATCATATTATTATAATGTCTAGAATTATAGGAAAATAATAGGAAAATTCTCTATACTGAAAGAAAGTCAAAGTGTAGTATGTCAAAAACAATATATATAAAATAGAACGTCAAAAATGTCATAAAAGATAAATGGTATGATGAAAAATACAAAAATAAATCACAGTATATAAAGTAGAAAAAAGGTCATAAGGTCGTATGTTATCGTATAAGTATGTCAATAATATCTTAAAACCCATAAGGACCCACCGTGACACAGGTGTCACATGACCTTTAGATGTTCTGGAAAGTTCCTTATACAGCTTTAGCCTTCTTTGTGTCTCATGAAGTCCCTGAGTGACACACCCTGAACAGTCTGGTGGGTCCTTGGCCAGGTCATGTGATGTTGTGTTCCCATGACAACATGTCCATGGGCCAGGTCATTTGATGTTCTGTTCCCATGACAACATGTCCAAGATGTCCATGGGCCAGGTCATGTGATGTTGTGTTGCCATGACAACATGTCCAAGATGTCCATGTGCCACAATGAGCTACATTTGAAAAGCTTTTTTGGTTTTGTTGCTAAAGGTACAATTCAAGCCATTTAAGAATTAAAATGCTTACATAACATGTCCTTTGTTACATGTAACCTGTTGTGGAAACATTTATTGATCAAATTGATATGAAACAAATGAGACAAACATCGCTGTGACACTGGTGTCACATCGGGACTTTAACCCTAAACGTTCAGAGTAAACCGAAAGTGACATACAGTTGCAAGAAAAAGTATGTGAACCCTTTGGATTCTCCACACATAGCGTTGTGTGTTCCTTCCAAACAACTCAACTTTGGTTTCATCTGTCCACAGAATATTTTGCCAGTAGTGCTGTGGAACATCCAGGTGCTCTTTTGCAAACTTCAAACGTGCAGCAATGTTTTTTCTGGACAGCAGTGGCTTCC